GAAGAAAATTGAGAAGTTGGTGACAGGGCAAACGCTTAATATCAACATCAATACTGCATTGTTGATAAGGTCTCCAATTAACGAAAGAAAAACAAGACTGATGTAAAAGTTCGTTTTCCCATGTTTTAAGTAAAATGAAGATCTATCTGGGAAAATTTTCCCCTTCAGCAAACATTTCTATGCTTTACAAGATTATCTTATTGAAATTCGGCTTCAAAGTTAAACCTTCAATACCTTACTGTGGGTCCCCTTTGCCTTCAAATATATGATTGCTGGCGTCGCCTCTAGCACAAGCTTAATGAGTTTTCTCAAACTTACACTAGAACTAGGACGATTCAGATGGTGAAAAAGCAAAGAAAATCACCCGATTGTTTAGGCAGAAGGTAAGAGAAGGGCAGGTCGTCAACGGGCACACCTGTAACAGCTACCTTGACTTGTATAAGAATCTCATATATTAGGTGGTAAAGAAATAAAGGCGGTTTTTGCCACTTAATTCTTTAAAAATAATACAATTTTTTCTTTGTTTTTTTTTTTGTTTTGTTATTTACTCTGTTATACTTATATTGTATGTATAATATGATTGATGAAAATATATATCGCTATTTATTATAAGTTATCTCTTTACAAATAAATGCCGAAGATAAGGTTTTTTCGAGCGGTTTCCGCCGTTTATCGTCCCATTTTGAACTCGTATAAGAAAATGACAAGAAATTCGGTTTTTCATTTTTCTTAAGCCTTTGAAATTTTTATCGCGTATTAATATTACGAAAAAAATAAACATCATAAAGAGATAATGCGAAAGTTGTACTTCGTAATGATATATAACTTTGTAACAAATTAGCAATAAATAAATAAATAAATAATAAATGTGAAAAACAATTAAAATTTCAAATAAGTCGCCATTTATTTCTTTACAACCTAATAGTTCCAGCCAATGGGAGGGAGAAAATATATAGCTGATAAATCAGATGAGTGAACTCAAATTTTACTGAGAAAATCTTTATCACCATTTATCATCAAGTCAATGCAGCTGAATTTAAACAATTTAAATGATCAGAAGTGACATAATTGAATTTGAGGAGTTACGGTAGATTTAGAACAGGTAAATATTATGCTTTGTTGGGATCGACTCAATAAGAGGTTTTGGTGGACATCTTTGACCACATCTCAAACGGTCGAAGGTAATCCTTTGCAGGTAGATGTTCCAACTTTCTATAATAAAGCGCGTCTTACTCTTCTTCTTAATTGAAAAAAGCTTGGAGAAGCATTTTTTACTTACCTATGCTCATCGCTCTTAGGGTTTTTGAGGAAGTCATGGAATGCTTTGTCGTCAAAACCAATTGCAGCAGCCTAGAATTGAAGGAGATGAGCTATCTATAATTCAGAAGGAATGGTAGTAACGGTTTGTAATTGCCATCGTCCTCCATAAATGCTTATGCTGCTAGAATTGCTATGATGCTATAGATGCGAGCCGTAGCTTGGAGATCTTAGGCCACGACTTTACTGGACGTTTATTGCCTTGATGAGTTTAGCAAACAACAACACACCACGCTACATTATATTCTCGTACAGATATCCTACTACATTAGATTGACTTGGAGATAATTTCAGTTTGACAGAATATGATTTGGTAATAATTCTGTCCCAAAGGAAACTTATAAGTTGATAATCTTCTATTCTCAATGAAAATTCTCAAAGCACGTTGACCTTTTGACTTCATGTTGGACAGAAATAGATAAGCGTTCTTAAAGGAATCGTTATACGAACACTTGAAGTGCCAAAATTAGTTCCTTTCCATGTTGCTCGAGTACCTATTTTCTAATTTCCTGCTTGCTACCAT